CAATGAAACTTGCTTAAAATTTCAACTTTGACCAATCAGCAAACAAATGTTGATTTGAATTTTCATTAGCAAAATTCCCTGCTTCGTGGTTTCAGGTCGAAATTAATTCACTGTAACTTCAGCTAGAGAACATCAAAGCTTTCCGTGCAGAAAACTTCAAAATTTTCCAGAGAAAATCGATCGCGACAAACAACAGTAACGGCAATTCAAAATTAACGATCCAAGCTGTACTTGCTGGTATGTCAACTTCAGCTTGAGTGTTCTCTTGTCGACAAAAGAAATTAAAGGAGTATCGATAACAAATAAGGCAGTATTAATGACAAATAAGACAAACAAAAACTGAATTTTTGTACCTTTCAGTGCCTCTCGCTGCAGGTCAACCGCCCAAAGATCTTTGAAAACAGTTCCTGACATGACGAATGGGGTCCTTCAAGAAGAGCTTTTTTTTTTCAAACTAGACGAGGTGGTGACAACATGTCTTACCTTACAGCCTCGACGAGTACAATGTTTGGACCCACTCGAGCTGGGCGTTTTGCTGCAGCAGGAGCAGGAGCCGTCGCAGTAGCAGCAGAAGCTAAACCCCGAGCAAACTGGATGGGACGGCCAAGTCGAAGCATTTCTAAAAGGCAACATACGTACTACAAATATAATACAGTGTGTAGAGGCGAAAGAGAGATGAACCTTAAAGAAGATGATTTGCGGTGCAGGGGCTGTACAAACTTTCACTTTAGAGATCTAAGCCACCTACACGATATTTCAAATCGATGAGAATTCCGTGGCTATCATGTCATTCGCTCCCATCTTTTGGAATAACACCAGGTACTACATAATTACAAATAAGGATTATTACAAAGTTGATTCTGCTATCAGATAGCCCGGCTGGGTGAACTTCTAGCACAAGTTTTGGCAGAAACTGTTAAACATGTGGAGTACCTATCAGGATCCAAATTTTTCGCTGACAAAAGATCTGCAAAAAAAATGTCAAACTGAACTCTAACTCTCAATTGCAAGTACAATTCAGATGTGATGTTCCAATTCACAAGAGTCTCTCAATTTGAACAATGCTTAAGCTCAAACCAATTATATCAGGAATACCCTAGTACGCCATGAGTTTTCAAAGCTAATATGAGTCTATAGACGACTCTTTCTAAACTGTGGATAATGTAAGAGAAACTATGAAGTATGCTTCTTAACATTTCACCATTTTTGCCAATTCAAAAGATTTCACTTCTGAAGTTCTGTGTTCACATGGAAACATGTTGCTACAAAAAAGGAAATTGTATGGTCAACTTGCGAAGGCTTGCCTAATATCTTTGAAGGATTTCTAGCCGTTTGTTCTATTTCAGGCGCAGCAGATTTGCCCTTTCTTATATTTGAGGACTCCAATGCTTTAGACCTAAGAACCACAAAGCTTCATGATTTTGATTGTGCCAAGTTTATGAACTAAACTTGACCGCAGTTTACGACAAAAGGTTCTGTTTAAGGCTGGCTATTAAGACTTTTTACCACGGGACTTAATTACTCAAATATAAATCTGTTAGTTCAGTTTTTAACTGATGATGAAAAAATACTGCTTAAATACAACAAAGTCAGAACAAAAGCTCCCAAACTGACAACAAGAGAACCTAAGAACTTCTTTATGATACTTTGATTTAAAACAAATAAGATGGAAATAGGACCTTAGAGAAAGGGAGAACATGAAATAACGACAAACCCCTAAGATTTGAAAGAGCTTCAAATGAAGCAGGCAATCAAACATAAGAACAAAAGCACTAGCATTTGCAACAAGAATTCCAACCTGAAGGGTCGTAAGTACAAAGTACGCGCCGAAAGGGATAACGATAAGGGTGCCGGGGAACTCGTCCTTTCCCCGCCCTCAGTTGCTGTAATTAGAAACCGTCAAATTTGATTCTTATCGGTTAAATGCAATCACAAGTCAATTTCTCCTCAATAGTGAAATAGGCAGCAGTTTTTCAAGCTTTAGAAAAACTTAATCCTGCAAAAAAATACTCTCAATTGAGATAACATTTCAGAAAAACTGAAGTACTACATAGACTACTTTATTCTTTATAGGAAAGAGCTATGAGAATGAACGAATGGAGTTGCTGATGTAAACAGTAGAAATCAGCTAGAATGTAGTATGAACATATGCTGTAGCTGTTGACAGAGTAAACCATAAATATCCGGAAAATGCATGACAAAGCAACGTAAATGATGACAAAATCTTTTGTTTTGCTTCACATTCTTCTTACGAAATGGCTATTATCAACTTGGTCTTACTGCTAAGTTTTTGAAAATGTTTAATTATTAAAACTAATGATTTACGGGTTATGCCTTTCTTCATTCCTTAGTTTTGAATTGCGTGGACAAGCTGGTTTTATTTTCTTAATCTTTCAAAGTTTTATTTTGCACCTAGGGTACCGAATGATGTATATTATATTTATGGTGACTCATAGAGAGAATTATCAAATATGATTCAATTTTTAAAAAAATCATGAGGGAGATCAGTGAGATAGAACTCGAGTTTTGGGCTAGAGTTAAATGCAGCTCGTTGAAATATATTTTGTGTAAAAAATATTCATCAAAAAGGTTGGGTTATATGTATTGGGCTGGTCTAGCCAACAAAATCTTTTTTTTTT